GCATGCACGACTATGAGTACCCCCCCCCCCCCGCCCACCATCTCACCCACCACGCTCCTTCACCTCTACATACGCGCTGATACATCTTACAGAACTGCTGTCGGTGCTGCACTCGGCAGCCACGTAGACTATATAAGCGGAGGAAAAAACGGCTTTTGTAGGCACGCCCCCCGCACCTGACGCACGGCGTGTTGCACCTAGATGCGCCACATGGAACTGCATTACTGCTGCTGTGTCGGCGGCTTGGGCGTACCTATTCGAGGCTCAATCGATACTAACCTTCGTCGTTAGGCTTCTGCTTCGCCTTGCCCCCGGCACGCTGCCCACTCTGTTGGCTGCTGATCCACCCTCCGGCTCGGGCGTACCACCACCGCCTCCAGCTGCGTCGCCAGGAGATGGACTGGAGTCTGCTACGGAGAAAGGGATGGTGGCGGTTCCGCCTCGACGTGCGAGTGCGACTTCTCCTGCCAACCTAGACGCATCTGGGGGGCTGCCGTACCCCTCATCTGGGTTGTGGTGCCTAGGCGTGCTGCGCCTGTGTGGCGTCTCGGAGGCGTCGGAGTCGAGTCCATGACGAGCACAACGACTCCAACAAGACGGTGGCCGCAAACAAAACCCTCCTCCAAATACGCACTCCCTCCTCGAGCCGACGCCGGCGTACGCCCAGCACATAACGCCCTAGCGCAGCCGCGGGGAGGCGGAGAACGCCTTCGCGCCCCGCGGCTACTGCGCGTATCCCCACCTTCGTGTACCCTTGCTTTTAGCTACCCCCAACCCTTGCTCCGTTTTTGGAGGCCCAGAATTCCACGTATCAGATCAGAACACTTCCTGCACGCGGAGCGGGAAAAGCCTTAGCGTGCCACGTTCCAGCACCCTCCCGAACAAACCTCCTCCGATACTCTCAGCTGCGAACTCAGCCGTATTCGGGCTTCGCATTGTACAGTTTCGAAGCCAGTGTAGTGTGCTGTTGCACCTGGTGTCGTTTTGTCACTCTGCCCTCTTCTCCAACAGGAAAAATCTCCTTGTTCAAAGCAATATCCGGTCCTCAACGAAAAATCTCCGGTCCCCTTTTTCCGGTTAGAAGTGCGGCGTATTCGCCTCAACCGAAAAAACACACCGCTACCGGAAAAACGGCCGCCTACCGGAAGTTTTCACCCTTAAGGGGAACCCCCCTAATATATGGCGCCTGTCACGTACACGACGTATTCTTCCACGTGATCCCTTCGATCTGCATCTTGAAGCCGGTGTGGCGCTTGAAAGCACCAAGTACAGTAGTACGAACCACAATCATACTTCAACACCCCTTTTCCCCCCGAGTTTCGCTTCATTTTTCTGTGGGCTACGTATCCCAACATGATAATAGTACCTATGTTGGTTAAACGAGGTTTTTCAGGACTCCTACCACACTTGTAATTGCTGCGGTAAGCATTTTTCTAGCCTGATGTTCTTACTTCCCAGGCTCTGTAGTGGTGGGGCGTCCTGTACCCACTCGGTCGAGGACGTTACGTTTATCAAACTGTCTAGCTAGACCCACAACCTGGCGAGGAAATAAAATCATGTTCACTCATACGTTCCTCGGGATAAGAATGAACGGACGTCGAACATCGCTAAACCACGACTCGAAATTCGTGACCGCAGAGGTTTGTAGCTAACAAGCGGGGGCACCCGGGTCAGGGTACTTGGCCGTTTCTGTAAAGCAACAAACCCCGTCACCGCTAGTGCTGCGTATTGGGTTTGCCGCCCCGGCTGTGATGGCGTTCGTTCGGCCCTTCGATTCCGGATCTCGTTATATCTTGCTGCAACTGTACGACCCTGAGAAATAACATTGTCTGCTGGTCACCTGCAGCTTCGTTGAAGGCTGCCGATGAAAACCAGAAGCCAACCTAGAACCCAGCTTCCCGTCCGTTGAACCCCATGCCTAAGATGATGACATTTTTACTCCCACCCGTGCTCGCATCCTTTGACTTAATCTCATACCTTCATAGTCTATTTCTCCACTTATCGTTCGGAGCAGCTGATTTCTCGACAATCCTACCCTTCCTACCCATGAAAATATAATGTGAGTTCACATCCTACCTTGCACATTTCTTAGCTTTGCCGCTCCACTACCCTTTGCTACGTCCCGAATTTCCTTGACGGCCTACAGTAGTCCTTTTGTCTCAAACATATCCCTCGCCCCTTCCTCACGCTCAACTCTCCTTCTGCCCCCCACCGACCAGTCCGGGGGAAATCTAGAGCTGGCAGCATGCCCTTGCTGCGTACCGATCACCTACAAGCTCCGGCCGGAAGGCTCGGAATGCGTCTGGCCTCCCACCCCATCCCCCACGGCCGCCCCAACTACAGCTGAGGAGTTGCTGGAGCGCAATGACGCTGCTCGACCGGGGATGGCCTTCGGTGGTCCCCTGGTGATGATCGCAGCCGTTGTGGGGGGACTCGCCGGTCTTGAATAGAAAGCGGTAGGCGAGGGTCTCGTTTTGTTGCTGAAGGACTCGGAAGTGGGGTGCTGGCGACATGGCAGGTGTTCGTTTAGCTGCTTCGCAAAGAATCGGGAAGTTGGCGGGTTGTGGAAGGGGCGATGCCTTGAAGTATTCGGTTGGGAGCTTGGCCGTTGAATTGGAATAGCAGCGAAGCCCACTCCCCAGAAGTACCGCCAAAAGCTGTCCGTTGGGCCTGATCGGAAAGCACCCGACGTCACAGTAGTTGGGCTGGGAACGTTGGACGCATGGAAGAATGGAGGCTTTCAAGATCTATGTAGTATGTTATTAAGTGCTCCTGGACGTCTGTGAGTCGTGCCACCACTTCTCTTGTTGGGATGACCTGGATGCCGTGTGTCATCAGGCTAAATAGGGGCACATGGAGACCGAATCGAAGGGGTTGATACGATACACTGTGATTCATTGTCGGGGTAGTGCTGGGTGTTTCCATCCTTGCTCTCTGAGAACCCTCGGTTAATTTGACGTAGGGCGGGCGATACCATAGTCTAGTCTCTCTCCAGCCTTCCCAAGAAACAGTAAGGTTGCCGAGCTGATGGCCGGCGACAAACTCCAAGGTTCAAGATGTTGACCTGATATCAGCATCACGTCGGCCTCCAGCCTCCAGCACGTTTGTGTTTTCGCCTCGGCCCGGTCGTGGAGAAAGGTGCTGCGAATTCTCTTCTGCGAGTTTTGTAGATTTTTCTACCGTATCACTCACGTAGGGTGTATATTTCGTGTTCAATAGGTGGCATTTTTTCGGGGGTCGAGCATCTGTCCCCTCCTCAGACGTGTGGTGAGCTTTGGGTGACTGTGATACTGACAACGCCTTTCCATGTTCGGATTGTAGTTTTTCAATATGTACCATCGTCGCTGTTATTCTCAGTTGTTGAGCATGCTGGAGGCGGCCGCCAATACTTGGTTAATTGGCAGCAAGGCCACAGCAGAGCTGTTGCCATCATCTCGATTGTGCGCATTGCTGGGTTTTGAAGGACGTACTAGGCAAAGGGGCGAGAGGCAGGTGGCATGTTCGTTGTCGGTGTTTTTAGCAGACACGTTCTTCCCGGTAGCTTCTACTGAGGGGAGGCTACAACGATAGTCTTTTCGCTTTCAGGGTCATCGGGTTGCGGGGTTGCGGATGTGCTACAGGGGGTAGGGGGGAATGGTGCATGGTGTATCGTCTGCGCTAAAGTTCTTGGATGCACAATGTGGGAGGGGGCTGTATCGCCTTTCTTGGGAAGAGTAGAAGTTCCGAAACGAAACGCGGGTAGCAATAATAGTGCATTGAGGAGGGTGGTAGTATTTCGATATCTTCTGGGGGGGGGTTACACAGCGAATGCTTTGAGTCTAATTTAAATGTATGTAATCGACGGGCAGTCAAAGGTACTCAAACTAGCAGTTGAGTGTATCAACGATGGATTTGATTCCGGGATTGGGCCAATTGCGGTATACGAAGCGTATATTTATCTTGCATATCCTCTTGTCCTTGGGCCGAGGAAATTACATGATTTGATTTTGTGAGGGGATAGAGCCAAGCATTTATTTTACGCTCGTCGAGTACGATAACGAGTTTGCGCTACTAGTCTGTTTATCAGAAACACGATAGATTGCCGCTATCAGTATGGCAGCTGCCTCATTATATATGTTCTTGACGAAGTCGTTGCTGTTTCGGAGATTTCGTTGCAGGCAACGGGCTGCCTCCGGTTCATAAAAGCCGAAAGGAGTGGTAAACAGGAGAACGTTTGCGCTCCTCCGGCTTGTCGTCTTTGTATCGTTATTTGCGGTGAGGTTGGCCGTCCCCGCCACCGTTGCACATGGTATTGTATTGTCCTGCTGTCGGGTGGGTAGTAGGCCATTCTTTTGGTGTTGTCGTGAGAGTGGTTGCACGAACCGAAGGACTAGCTGGAGGCGTCGGGATAGTGGTGGCTGCCCGTGTACCGGTGTCTTCTAGATGTTCTTGGAGGCGGCGGCGGTATGCCGTCGTAAATTGTACTGAATGAGGGGTCGGCCAATATGGTAGACGAGTGTCATCGCGATTGGCATGGGCCTTGTGCGTAACAATAACCAGATCATCAATGGTAGCGCCGACAACCCCCTGGGTGTCAGTGTTCGGCACGTGTGACTGGAGATGAACCACGGATTGGCATCCAGTATGGGGTCGCCAGAGGCAACATGCCTGGTGGGAGGGTCTTGGGCAGCTTCTTGGCGTGGGTTTGTGTGGCGTCGATGTGTCGCTGGGAGAAGCCCTTGCGGCGGCATCGTGCCATCTCGTCCATGGTGTACCAGGCACCGTCCTCGTCGAAAGTGACGCAGGAGATACCCCCAGTGACGTCCATGTCCCAGCGTGAAATGGACACGTCGTGCGAAAGGGGCTGGCCGGAAAGATCGGTGGTGCCCCCACGTTTATGTCGGTGACGGAGAACCCGGCGGAGACCACGTTTTTGTTGCGTACATGCGTGTATTCGTTGGAGATCTTGTATTTTTTGCTGCGCGCGCTTCTGTGAGGGGGAACTGCTCCAGTCGAGGCGTAAGTCGAGCCAATGTACCGCGGTGATGAGCAGCGTTGTGCCACACGGTCTAATTGCACGGCACTCGACGAGAATGCGTTGGGCCTTGTGCGTTTCGCGATTCGGCTTCTGCGTCTAGAGGTTCACCTGAACCTGTCGTTCGACGGCATGCCGTTCAGCATGGATGGAGGCGGATGCATCATGTGCCGCTCGAGCCGCAATGAAATGAGCCTCGCCCTCGACCACGCGCCTCACGTGTTGGGCGCAAGGTGCGCCCTCTGCTTCTAAAGAACGACGTAGCGGAGCCCAGCCCGCTCTTGTTTTTGCTTGCCTCGTCTTTGGGCAGCCGGCTAGCCAGGTGTTGTCGCGCTGTCGTGAAGGTATCCCACATTTGACGAGGAAAGGTGCGCCTCATCGCGATGGAAGGGGTGTCGTGCGGGAAACGGCCGTCGTGATGTTTATTTCGTACAATGAATGGTCGAATCCAACGGTTGCAGGTATAGCCATAAGCAGGTGAAGATGAGGACAATAACCTGAGAGACACGCGAGGAGGCCATTGAAAAGCGACGCAGTAAGAAGGGCGATCCTGTTTTCGGTATTCATTCCAAATTCCCCCCTCATTATTGGTAGTACTCACGACGACAGCACTTTTCGCCCTTTACATGTAACTGTCGGTTCTTTCACTCCGGAGAGA